ACAGCTTAGCTCTTAAGTTTTATTCATCAAAAACTTGTGCTACCTTCGTCTCTCCACCACATCTCTTAAGCGTGGGTTTAGTATCGTCGTTTCTCTCCTCTCCTCAATTGGTATATTTCTTTAGTGGAAATTATTAAAAGTTTCGGTAAGTTTCCGGAGGACGTAGGCAAAATCTGGTATCCCGAACGCTCGTTAAATTTTGCGTGTTCTCTATTTATTTAATCTTTTTTGTCTTTTATTTATTTAATCAGCCTATTGTTTGGGGTCAAAGACAACATATTTTGGTTGTTATTGTCTAATTAATTACTTCTATAGTGTAACAGTATATTCTGATCTTTAGGCAAGTGGATTTATAAGTGAGGACCATTTGTGGACTCCCTCCACTACTTGGAGATTTACTTAGTGTAGTTAGTTAAGCTACAGTAATTCCACAAATTGCTTTTGGTGGGAAAAATGCACAATTTCCACAACACTTGGGCTGACAGTTTGAATCGAGGGGGGAGGTGGGGGGGGGGGGGGGGGGGGTGGGGGCGTGGGGGGGGTTCAGTTTGAATTTGTCTCCCGGTTCACCAGATTCCGAAACTACTCAAAGACCGACAGTCATCTGGGATGCTCGCCGTCGCTGGTTTCTATCTCCTGATTCCTGGCAACCAATAAGGTTCCGTGCATACCGGTTGCCGCTCCCCGGCGCCATGAAGCTCATTACTTGAAAGGAGTGAGACCATTTGTGACTCCTCCACTTACCTGGGAATTTACTTAGTGTAGTTAGTAAGTACAGTAATTCACAAATTGCTTTTGGTGGAAAAAGCACAATTTCCACAACACTTGGCTTACAGTTGACCGATCAGTTGAATTTGTCTCCCGGTTCACCAGATTCCGCTACAAAGCCGAAGTCTCTGGGATGCGCCGATCGCTGGTTTTCATCCGGGGTGCCGCAACCGTTGCCGCTCCCCGGCGGCCATGCCTACTTGAAGTAGGTTAGATAAAACAAAATTTATGAAAATTCAATCATAATTTTCAGAAAGCAAAAAAGTAGAACCAAACCATTTAAAAGAGAGGAAGAAATATTAGAGTAAAAGAGCAAATATTTACATTAAACATACCAGAGATTCATACGATAGTTAGGTTAGGCACGTGATACCGAGTACAATGCCTTTTTCGCAGTGTTATTGTACTTTCATCAATAATTGTAAGAACCTAGATTCACTGCATGAAAAAAATTGGGTTGCGAACTAGTAAATTAATCGCACAAAGTCACTCCTAGATCCTGAAAAAATATATATTCAAACCAGGTTGTTGATAGAACCAATATTAAAAAAAAAAAAATGAGTCAACTCGTGCAATCATTTGAGTTCATGACCTAATAAGCAACAAATGATTCAAGTTGTTTTAAATCATTGTTGTTTGAGATTGGTGAAACATCAGGTGTTGACCCGGTGAAATCAGTAAAACTGTGCAACAAAAAGTAATTGCATGTAAAAGCTAAGCAATAGGTCAAATATAAAGAAAGAGTAGATGGTGGTAGTGGGACATAACAATTAATGGTTTTCATTTATTTTTTAGAATTAAGGTTTAACAGAACCACAATTAAAAAAAAACAAAGAAAAGAAAAGAAAAAGAAAAGTAATTGGAATTTGGAGGTTTGAAACAAAAAACCAAAAGAACTGGAGAAACTGTAAAATAATTAAAATAACACCGCCGAAAAAGGCATTGGACTATCGGCAGTGTTATTTTAATATTACTGCTTGCACGCTAAATCTTACTGTCACAGCGCATATTACGTTTGGCAGCCCTGACACTGACAGAAGAGTAGAGGGGAAGCTCAGTATCACGTGCCTAACCTAACTATCATATATCCACTTTTTAGATATAACATAAACGCATGTATAAAGGTCCATCGACTCTCACTTGTGCACACAAAAACATATTCTCCCCTTATGTGTATACCATATGGCACTGAACACACTTCTTCTTCTTCTTCTTCTTCGAGAAGTAGCCATATCATCCATCCTCTTCTTCATTACTAGAATCTTTATTCACTCTCTTCTCAAAAAACCCTCTCGTCGTCTTCCTCCAGGTCCAAAAGGATGGCCGGTTATCGGTGCCCTTCCTCTTCTAGGGACCATGCCTCATGTCACATTAGCCAAAATGTCCAAAAAATACGGTCCTGTCATGTACTTAAAAATGGGTACGTGCAATATGGTAGTGGCTTCCACTCCAGATGCAGCACGAGCATTTTTAAAAACCCTGGACTTGAATTTCTCGAACCGACCACCTAATGCAGGCGCAACCCATTTAGCATATAATGCACAGGACATGGTGTTTGCTGATTATGGACCTAGATGGAAACTTTTACGGAAACTAAGTAATCTTCATATGTTAGGTGGTAAAGCCCTAGAAGATTGGGAAAACGTTAGAGCTGTGGAATTAGGTCAAATGCTTCGAGCCATGTGTGATGCTAGCCAAAGAAATGAACCGGTCGTAGTTCCAGAAATGTTAACATATGCAATGGCTAATATGATTGGTCAAATCATACTGAGTCGACGAGTTTTCGTTACAAAAGGTAGCGAGTCTAACGAGTTCAAGGATATGGTTGTGGAGTTAATGACTTCTGCTGGGTTTTTTAACATTGGTGATTTTATACCTTCCATCGCATGGATGGATTTGCAAGGAATAGAAAGAGGTATGAAGAAATTGCATAAGAAGTTTGATGTTTTATTGACGAAAATGATCGAGGAACATATGGCTACTACTCATCTACGTAAAGGAAAGCCTGATTTCCTTGATGTGATTATGGCTACCAGAGAAAATTCTGATGGCGAAAGGCTTAGTATAACAAATATTAAAGCTCTTCTTCTGGTATGTCTAATGTAAATATATGCTCTTTTACTCAAATATTTCTTCCTTTCTTTTAAATGGTTCGGTTCTGCTTTTTTGCTTTCTGAAAATTATGATTAAATTTTCATAAATTTTGTTTTGCCTAACCTACTTCAAGCAGCCATGGCCACCGGTTCAATTTAAACTGAAACCGAATAAATGAACTGGAATCGGCCCGGAACCGTGGGTTCAAAGTTTTGAGTCGGAATCAGCATTTCAAGGGTCAGCTAAGGTTAATGCGAATGTTAAAATTTGAATCTAAACCGGCCCGGAATCGGTGGTTTCGGGCCGGTTCGAACTGAAAATTTTTTATTTTTAAGTTCAAAATTGTAATCACTTAGCATATTCTATACACCTCTAAAAGTCTAAATAATCTTTTACTATATGATACACCTAAGATTTCTTTTTTTTTTTTTTTTGAATCTAAAACCGGCCCGAATCGGTTGGTTTTCGGGCCGGTTCAGAACTATAAATTTTTATTTTTAAGTATTCAAAATTGTAAACTCACTTAGCATATTTCTATACCACTCTAAAAGTCTAAATAATCTTTTACTATATGATACACCTAAAGATTTCTTTTTTTTTGTTTTTTGATAATACCACTTATACTTAAAGGCTTAAAAATCAAAAAAAAAAAAAAATGGTAAAAAAAAGTGAACAACATATCTACGCGTCTTAAATTATACATTTTTGATACCATAGAGTGGGAGTTTATACATTTCTTTTCCTTTTAAATATATTTAACTTAATTCAAAAAACTTTAACTCCATTTGAAGCATTTTTCTAAGAATTTAATTTAATTAATAAACATTTTAGGACATAATAAATTGGAATAATTATTTTGATTATTTTATAAAATTACATTAATTTTTAAAAAAGTGAAATATTTAGTCTAAAATTATATTGTTTGATACAAATGGGAGTTTAACATTTTTTTCCTTTTAAATTATTTACTTAGTTCAAAATTACATCATTTGAAGCATTTTTCTAAGAATTTATTTAATTAATAACATTTAGACAAAATAAATGATAATTTATTTGATTATTTTATAAAATTAATTAATTTTATTTCTTATTGAATACGAGCATTCTAAAAATTATTTAAAATAAAATTCACTAATATTTTTTAAACTCATATTAATTTTTTGGAAATAAATATATAACCTTAGAATCAAATTATTATTTAAAAAAAATACACGTATCGCCGGAAACCGTAATCGGAACCGTTGGTTCATTAGAACCGGACCGAAACCAACGATTCAAAAGTCGATTCAGATTCAACATCTTAAAAATTTTGAACCCGCGGGTGAATGCCGGCTATGCCTAACTTCAAGATTGCATTCCTCATAATGGAGAATATTAGTTGTTAAAATCTTGAGGATTAGGACAAGTTAGATTTTGCATATATATTTACCATTATCTTTTGGCTATGATTCACGAGGAACTTTCAAAAATGAAATAAAATATATATATATATATATTTAATGGTTTTTGGTCAATACTGCTAACTTAATTAAAGTGCTTAATTACATTTTTTCAGAAGCAGTTGTGGTTAAGTTAATAATCGCAAGTCTAACATTACCTAATGTTTTGAAGTATTAATTAACTTTTGGCTGTTCTTATTTCCATAATATTTTATTCCCTAATATGTCAACCATATGTTAGTTTGCTAATTATGTGCTACCTAATATTGCTGATTTTATTTATTTTTTATTTTTTGGCAAGAATTTATTCACTGCAGGCACTGATACCTCATCAAGCATAATTGAATGGTCACTTGCTGAAATGTTAAAAAACCCTAACATTCTTAAACGTGCTCATGATGAGATGGATCAAGTAATTGGCCGGAACCGGCGACTTCAAGAATCCGACTTATTGAAACTTCCATATTTACGATCCATATGCAAAGAAACGTTTCGGAAACACCCTTCAACGCCTTTGAACCTTCCTAGGGTTTCAACACAAGCATGTGAAGTGAACGGTTACTACATACCCAAAAATACTAGACTTAGTGTCAACATTTGGGCAATAGGTCGGGACCCCGATGTATGGGAAAATCCATTGGATTTTATGCCAGAAAGATTTTTATCCGAGAAATATGCGAAAATTGATCCCCGAGGAAATGATTTTGAATTGATTCCATTTGGTGCAGGAAGGAGAATTTGTGCTGGGACTAGAATGGGAATTGTGCTAGTTGAGTACATTTTAGGGACTTTAGTGCACTCTTTTGATTGGAAACTGCCTAATGGAGTTAAGGACCTTAATATGGATGAGGCCTTTGGACTTGCACTGCAAAAGGCAGTGCCCCTTTCTGCTCTGGTTAGCCCTAGGCTAGCACCAAGTGCATATGCTTCTTAAATCTTGTGAAGCTCACAAGCTCAATTCACAAGTTATACCCCAAGTTTGCCCTATGAAGCTCTATAATTTATTATTTCTCATGGCATGTTAATTAATTTAGATCTTGTACTTGTTGGAGCTATGTACTTTCTCTTAAGAAAGAGGCATTATTAATAAAAGAAAATTTAATAATAAATATTTTTATTTAAAATATAATATAGCTATATTTTATAATTAATTAAAATGCAAATTGACACAAAAATAGTGGGGATAAAGTATATTAAAGATAATAAATAAAAAAATTCATGAAGACTGGCTCATCAAGTGGTAAAACATATTTGAGTTATAAGGTTCAATCTAAAAAAATATTGATAGAGACAAAAAAACTACCGAAATTTCAAATTAGACTTATTTATTTAAAATAAGTTTTTTGAGTGGAAAGACTTAATGATTTATTGAAGTACAATGTTACGGTCAGTTAGCTCAACCAAGGGCCAAGCTAAACTTTAGAATCGGAAAGGTCAAAATAAATTTTCCAAAAGTTAAAGAGACCAAAATGAAGAAAAAAATTTTTTGTATTGAATTATAAAGCAAAATTTAAAAAAAAAAATTCTTGAGTTTGGGGGCCAGGCTCCCCATAGTCCCCCTCCCTCCGCCCCTGTGCTCAACTATGAGTTCTGCGCATGAATTGAAGCACAATGTTACAATCAATTAGCTGGGAGACATTTGTTACGAAATGGTAATAAATTTAACCATATTTATTACCATTTCATTGAAAACGCCAGCTCCTAAAATTCATTAATCGAATCTAACGATTTGATTCTTATAAGGGGGCATTTGTTACGAAATGGTAATAAATTTAGCCCCGTCAGCATGGCCTAAGCCATAAATATAAAATAAAGAGTCCTAGACCAGCCCAAGTTTGAGCCATTGTAAAATCATAGCTCAGCACCTGCTTGAGCTACAAGGCAAGTCATATTTTACAGTCAGTCATGAACTACGTCATAAAGTCAAAAATACTAGTCAAGCACAGGCTACCGACTCCTAATCAGTAACCTAAAAGGAGTCCTCCAAACCTCTATGTAAAGTACCTCATTTCCTACCTCAAAAGTACTATAACAAGTTGGGTGCTTTGGATGGTAATTTGACAAATTGGAACTAAGCATTGTTCGCAAAGTCTAATGTTGTCAAGGGGAATGGTTTCCTTCTAGCATCTGATAAATTTATAGATGAATTTAATGCATGTCTAGTGAGGTAGCCAGAAAATTCACTAAGAGGAGCCCAAAATTAAAATATATCATTTGAAAGAATTCTCTATCTGATCCAAAATAAAAATTGTTTAAGGTTTTTGCACATAGGCTTAGGAAGCAATTAATTTTTCTAAATTATAATAAAACCAAAGGTAATTTAATCAAATTACTTTTTATCTGAAAACTAAGGATAATTTGCAAAGATAGTTATTTTATCTAATATAAATAAGGTTAAAATTGAAAAAAAAAATATCATTTATTACTCTTCAAAATACTCAAAACAATTTGTAGTTTAAGACAAAACAATCACCCTAAAATGATTTATATTTTGGATGTAGGGAGTAACATATATAAAATAAATATAAATGATGAGAATTACTTACAAGAAGGAAAATAAACTGTTAAAGTTAAATACAATAATTTTCGCCTATTTTTCATTTAGTGAAATCTATTCATAACGGCTTCATTATCAATATATTTCTCTAAAAAAAAAAAAAAAATTGATTGTCAATACTTGCAAATAAATATCTTTTAATATAAATCACTCAACAACCATCAGTGGTTCATAAAATTAATTAATTTATTAAATATTATAGTTAGGTTGAATATAAAATACAATTAAGTTGAATACTATAATCCAAAACTAATTTCTAAACTCTCTTTTAATTTGAGTTTAGAAATTAATTTGAGTTTTAGCCCTTTTTTTAGAGAATAATTATTCAAAAATTATTATTATTTTTCAATATTTCAAGGGTCCATGCTCCCGTTGGGCCTAGTGTGGCTCCATCAATGTGTATGTCATTTAACATTTATGCTCCCGGTGAAGCTAATTCCAGAAGATTGCTATGCGTTGAGTTACAGGATTTGCTGTCTAACTTATCTGGTATACTTTGTATTGGTGGAGACTTCAATTCAGTTAGGGGGATGCATGAAAGAAAAGGATGCATGGAAGGGTAAGGTTTACGAATCAGAACCAGCGGTTCATGAGCCAGTTAAGATTCATACCAACGTTAAAATATGAATTTGAATCAGTCCAGGATCGACGGTTCCGGTTCGGTTCAATTGAAAATTTTCTACAGTTTACTTTTCAAAAATTTATAATCACTTAGCTATTTTATCCACCTCTAAAAGTCTAAATAAATCTTTTACTGCATAATACACTTTTCTTAAAAAGTTAACATCTAAAAAACTAAAATGGTAAAAAAAGTGAAATATTTAGTTTAAAGTTATATTGTTTGATACAAATTTGAGTTTAATGTTTTTTCCCCTTTTATATTTTTTTTTACTTAGTTCAAAATTACATTGTTTGAAGCATTTTTTTTTTATTTTTTTAACAATTTATTTAATTAATAACATTTAGACAAAATAAGATGATAATTTGTTGAATTATCTTGTATTTGTTTGTAAAGTTAATTAATTCTATTTCTTATATGGGTATGAACATTCTAAAATTTATTTTAAGTAAAATTTACATTAATTTTTCTGAGAGAAAGACGTAATCTTAAATCCAAAATTCAGGGTATTCTAATATATTATGCCTTTTTAAATTTTTTTTTTCTATTTTCTTTATTAGGTACATATAACATTTAAATTATTATTTTAAATATTGGGACAATTAGTAAAATTAGTTCGTGTATTTAATTCAATGTGCTATATAATCAATTTATTACAATGAAAATAAAATTTTTTTAAATTATTTCTATATATCCTATTTTTTTCGATTTATATATAATTAGGAATATCATTATTTCAATATAAAATAGTTTTTTCACTAATTTTTTATCTATAAATGATCCCGTAGATTGAGTTTTGGCGAGTCAATTTCTTTCTTTGCTAATTAGGTTCTACTGTACAGAAGTTTACAGTATGCCAAAATACTGACTGTAACTATTTTCTTAATTTAGGAGATAATCTAAATACGAAAATACAATTAATAATAGGACTAGACAATGTAGCTTCCAAAATCTATATTTTGGCTAAAGAAAGAGACGTTTATCCATATAGGGCCATGAACCTTTAATTTGTGCTGGCATCAGAATAAATCTCTTTAAAGAAAATATTATCGTATGTACACAATAAAGTTTCTCAATTATGGAGGTCACACGTGAGAATGCTCTAGCTCTCTTTGGATAGACCCACGTAGTTATTATTGGGGATAATGTTAATTTTAATGGTTGTAATTAGTCTTTTTTTTTTTTTTTTTTTTTTTTTTTTTTTTTTTCTTTAATGTAAAAACATTTACAGTTAATTTTCTTACTAGGAGCAAACAACGTAACTTCTTATAATGCGCGAGATAGATTCACGCGGTTCTCTTATATCATACAATTTTATGCTCACTTTTTAAAATTTTTTTTTTTTCTATTTTCCTTTGATTAGTCATCAAATTATTACACATTCTAAATTGTATATTTTAAATATTGGTTGAACAGATTGGAGGTTAAAAAATGAGATTCGACCTGTATTTATTCAAAGGTGCTTATATAATCATGTATTACCAAATGAAAAAAAAACTTTTCTTTTAAATATTTCCTATAGAATTATCCTAAGTCTCCTGTCTTGTCTCCCCACAACCATACCGTGTGCGATTACTATTATATAATACAGGTATATATCATTCACTTTTCAATACTTATAAAATAGTTCTTCTTTAACAATTTCCCTATATTACCTACTAAATGATTCCCCGATAGATTGAGTTTTGGCGAGTCAATTTTTCTTTCTTTGCTAATTAGGGGTTTCTACTTGTACAGAAGTTTACAGGTATGCCAAAATACTGAACCTTGTAACTACTTTTACTTAATTTTTATTGGGAGATAGATCTAAAGAGCTCTGGACAAAATATCACTATTTATAATCAATAGGATCCTTAGGACCAATGTAGCTTCCAAATCTCTATTTTGGCTAAAGAAAGTAGACGTTTATCCCACCTTATACGGGGCCTATAACCTTTTAAATTTGTGCTGGCAATTCAGAACTTAATTCCTTCTTTTAAAAGAAGAATATCTATCGTATGCTCACACTAATTTAAAGTTCCTTCTCATAATTATTAGTGCAGGTCACACGAGTGAGAATTGCTCTAGCCTGCTCTTTGGTATCAGGACACGGCCACGTAGCTTATTATTCGGGAGCATAATGTGTTTAATTTTATAATCCGGTCTGTAATTATCTTCATTTTTTTTTTTTTTTTTTTTTTTTTTTTTTTTTTAGTGTTTGTAACAGAAATTATGACAATTTAAGTGTCTAAATTTGAATAATTTTGTTTATATACATTGTGCAGTCCTACATCTCTGAGCCGACCATGACACATACGCGGATAAAATCCAATGGGATCAGATTGAAATCCAAGTAAATGGCCCTATGTGAGCTCAGCTTTTACGGTGAGATAATTGTGACTACTCCAACACAAAATTCAGTTTCAGTGCCCACCAACTCCAATGCGTGGTTGATGTGTGAGCTATGAAATATTAAATATCTAAAGTACAGATCTCCTTTGAGTCAAACCTGTTTCATTTCTGATAGGATTATTGATTCATTCATGTTCTTGCGGATAAAATTGAACGGAATTGAACTCAATGTATCAAATCTCAACAAACGATCTATTTCTGATAAAAATTTAAAATTTGTATAATTTCATATAAGTTTCATGTAATAGGTGAATAATGATGATGCGACCAAATTCCCAGTAATTATATTGGGTTCAATTCCTTCCACAAAATATATTGGAATTAATCATGCTTTAAATTATTAATTTATAGTGTTGTTTTAACAGGTGTAGTTGGTCGAAAAATTAAGCGTTTTTTTTTTTTTATCAATTTTTTTGACTCTTAATGAATTAAGGTTGATGAATGGTTAGAGCGCAATGTAGCCTGATTTCATAAGAGCAGATTCATGGGACCTTTCTGATTTAAAGGCTTCCAGAGAATCCAGGACCGTTACATTTTCTAAT